AAACTTAACTTTCTTATTTTTATTATTTTAATACTTTTTTTATTTTCTTTCCATTCATAATTAATGGATCTCATTAGCGATACTTCTGAAGTTATATATATAATGTAAATTTTTTCGCTTAGTTTGATTTGATATTAGTTAAATATTTTTGATTCTGTACCAAAGTTTCCATAACCTTAAGAAAATTGCCCCGCAAAATCATAAATTAGATTTTATATGCCTACTCCTTCTGCTGTCCAATCCTTTTCTTAATAATAAATAATTAATGGAGTGGGGGGGAGGGTATTTATAGAGTTTCGCAACTCAGTTCATTTTTCGTCGGTGTGTCAGTCTGTTTATAAAAGGGTGTAAATCCCAATCTAGTAGCTGTACATTAGCATCGAGCAAACCCACTCTCTCAAGGCCCCTCCCGACTCTGTGTTCAGACTTTTGAACATCCCTTCGTCTACAGACTACTTTCCTGCCTCCGAAAGATGGAGACTATATTTATAGCTAACAAGAGAAATAGTACACTTGAAGATAAACAGATTTAATGGACAATATTTCCGAATAATTCAGAATCACCAGAACAGCACCCTTTATATTTTACCTCTAATTAGATATAATAATAATGCTATATGGTTATAAAAGAAAAGTTAGATTAAAAGATGGTAGACTCTTAAAAGCAACTACTTTAGAACTATATTAGGATTGAAAATCAATATCCTAAAGAAATCTTGGACCAGATAATTGGACTATTGTAAGATAACTTCCAAAGTGTGGAATATGTGGAAAAGCAGATTTAGTATGATATTTTTAAAAGAATACATAAATAAAGAAATTTTAATCAAAAATGACACTGTTGAAAGAAAGATTAATTTTAAAGATAATTAGTTACTTGTGTATTACTACAAATTTTAATAAAATTTTTGAGAAAAGAGCATGATGAGTAGATGTATGATCATTTTTTCGATTAGATTTAAAATTTATGGGACTAATTCTGTGACAGGAAATCAGAATTCTTCACTAAACAAATCCAATAGAAAGATCAAATTGATATAATTTGAATAAAAGAAGGTTGAATTAGATAATGAAGAGAAATTTCCCTAAAAATTTATACGAAGAACATGCTTTTATAAATTAGAAAGATGTAAAATCCAAAAAAAACTAATGACTATTAATTATTTAAAGGAATATCTTGAAACTCTTCACAAGGGTATTAGCAACAAGATCGATAAAATTATTTCTTATACCAAAACATTCATGGCAACCTAGTTAAGAAAGCTTAGAAAGCCATTACAGAATAGATGAAGGAAATAACCAAGCTAATAGCCTGGACTATTAAGGAAGAGTATGAAAATACCTTCCTAAACACAAGCAACAAATTCCAGTTTGAGACATTAAATTCATAATAATTATTATTAATTTCAATCTTTTGGGTTAAAATCTAAATAATTTTTAGACTCTCTGAATTAATTTAGTTTAAATAATTAATATTCGTTGAAAACCCTGATTAATAAAAATTCTCTCTTTAAAAACAGGAGTTGATTATTATTTAATCTCAATTTAATAAAATTCATCTTGAACAGTTTTTATTTTAAGATAAATTAAAACATCATCTACAACTTAAAATTTTTTTATACATTTCACTTTTTCCAATTTTTTTGATAAAGAATTTTAAAAGACAATTCTATGAAGGTAAAACTGAAAATTATTTTATTTTAATTCCTTAATTGATTTAAAAATAAAATCTACTTAATTAGTTTATGCTAAAAGATAAATCAAGAGTAATTATTTTTAAAGTTATTGATATATTTTCACAACACCTATAAAATGCTTTAAAATTATTTTTTATATTAATTTATGAATAATTGATAAATTTATTTAAAATTTATCTTTAGAAGTCTAACAAAAGGATGAAAATATTCATTTAAATTTATAAATAACTTTAAATTATGATATATATTTTATTGCATATTTATAATGTTCATTTGTAAAAATTTAATTAGCTTTATTTTGCTACTTTAGATTTATTTTCATTTTCTGTCCCTAATTACTAATACTAATAGATATTTTAGGATAAAGCATTTTTTTCAGAGATTGCTTAAATAATTATTTACCTTAATAGTACTTTTTTGTTTAATATTTCATTTGCTATCCTTTCACTATTATCTTCCATATAATGTAAAATGATTAATGCGTCTTTAGTGCCTGCTGCCCAGTACTCCTTATCTTTAAATTATTTATCCTCTTCTGCCAACAATTACTTTGTAAAAATCTACAAATTTGATTCTGATTAAACAGTTAAATTTGATAATTAAGTTTTACTTAATTCTAGTTTTGCAATTTATATCTCTATTAATAATTAATCAGGAAGCATAGAACTGCATTTTAAAATATTATTTAGTTTCTTTAATCTTTCAGTAAATTTTTTTTCTTTTCTATATTCAAACCCATAATTTAGAGCAGTATTAATTAAGTTGAAAGCATTTCCACATATAGGTAATGCTCCTAAGGTTGATAATCCTGCATTTACTACCTTTTAAAAAATTTATTCACATAATTCTGCATTACTTTCAATAATTGCATTTTTATTAATTAAAAATAGATTCGAGGAGATCTATTACATTGAAAATAAGTAATTATACAATCTCCAAACTAAAGCATTACAATACATAAATTAGTTGATATTTTCTTTTTTATTTAATTGTTTTAGAGCTTCAGAAACTTAAAAACAGTCTTTTTCTAAAATCGAATTGATTTACATTTTCAAATCAGAATTTTCATTACTAAGCCTAATTATTTGATTTTAAAGATCATTAAATTTTTGCTCATAAAGTTGTTTATTAATATAAAATTAATTTGTTTGTAAATTTTGATTAAATAAATGTTTATTGGTTTGATTTCTAAAATTAACAAATTTACAATTATCTAGGCTTATTCCTTTAATTAATTAGTTTTCTATTTTGGTAAACCTTTAGATAAATATTCAATTTAATGATTTTTGTTTATATCTAAAGTTAAGTTTCTTTTAGCAGATTAAGTTATTCCCTAATATATAAAAGGTTTGTATTAGATAAATTCCACTTCTATATTTATTGATTAGTAATAGAGTCTAATGAATTTTTTGCTTATGTAAAAAAACCATTTGCTTCATTAAATTATTATTTGTTAAAATGGTAACTTCCTAAGTTGGTATGATAAAGTGGATCATCTCGTTATAAAATGAGAGCTTTATTGAATTCTTGAAGTGCTTTTTCTTTTTCTCCTTGTTCTTCAAAATGAATTCCTAAGTATATAACTAGATGATAACCTCGGTTATAATAAGCAGGAGCATAATTTGGATTTAATTTTATGGCCATGGTGTAATCTTGAAGTGCTTTCTGTTTATCTCCTAGTCCGTTTTATAGAACTCCTAATGATATTACTAGATGATTTACCTCTATTATTATAAAAATCAGCATAATTTGGTTTCAATTAGATGGCTGTGTTGTAGTCTTGGAGAGCTAATTATTATTCTTCTTGTCCTTTAAATAGAATTCCTAATTGTATTACGAAATGATTTACCTCTATTATTATAAAAATCAGCATCATATGGATTCAATTTGATCTCCATGTTGTAGTCTTGTAGAGCTTTTTATTTTTCTCCTTGTTCTTCAAATAGAATTCCTAATTATAATATATGAGATTGCATACCTCGATTATAATATAAAGGAGCATAATTTGGATTTAATTTGATGGCCATGTTGTAGTCTAGAAGTGCTCTTTCTTTTTCTCCTTATTGTTTGAATAGAATTCCTAATTATCATACTAAATGATATACCTCTGTTATAATAAGCATTAGCATAATTTGGATTCAATTTAATGGCTTGATTGTAGTCTTGAAGCGCTTTTTTTTTCTCTCCTTTTTAATCTAATAGAACTCCTAATAATATTAATAGATTATTTGCCTCTGTTATTATAAATATCAGCATCATTAGGATTTAATTTGATGGCTGTGTTGTAATCTTAAAGCGCTTTATTATCTTCTCCTTGTCCTTTANGTTTTAGAGCTTCAGAAACTTAAAAATAGTCTTTTTCTAAAATTGAATTGATTTAAATTTTCATATCAGAATTTTCATTACTAAGCCTAATTATTTGATTTTAAAGATCATTAAATTTTTACTCATAAAGTTGTTTATTAATATAAAATTAATTTTTTTGTAAATTTTGATTAATATAAATGTTTATTGGTTTGATTTCTAAAATTACCAAATTTACAATTATCTAGGCTTATTCCTTTAATTAATTAGTTTTCTATTTTGGTAAACCTTTAGATAAATATTCAATTTAATGATTTTTGTTTATATCTAAAGTTAAGTTTCTTTTAGCAGATTAAGTTATTCCCTAATATATAAAAGGTTTGTATTAGATAAATTCCACTTCTATATTTATTGATTAGTAATAGAGTCTAATGAATTTTTTGCTTATGTAAAAAAACCATTTGCTTCATTAAATTATTATTTGTTAAAATGGTAACTTCCTAAGTTGGTATGATAAAGTGGATCATCTCGTTATAAAATGAGAGCTTTATTGAATTCTTGAAGTGCTTTTTCTTTTTCTCCTTGTTCTTCAAAATGAATTCCTAAGTATATAACTAGATGATAACCTCGGTTATAATAAGCAGGAGCATAATTTGGATTCAATTTTATGGCCATGTTGTAATCTTGAAGTGCTTTCTGTTTATCTCCTAGTCCGTTGTATAGAACTCCTAATGATATTACTAGATGATTTACCTCTATTATTATAAAAATCAGCATAATTTGGTTTCAATTAGATGGCTGTGTTGTAGTCTTGGAGAGCTAATTATTATTCTTCTTGTCCTTTAAATAGAATTCCTAATTGTATTACGAAATGATTTACCTCTATTATTATAAAAATCAGCATCATATGGATTCAATTTGATCTCCATGTTGTAGTCTTGTAGAGCTTTTTATTTTTCTCCTTGTTCTTCAAATAGAATTCCTAATTATAATATATGAGATTGCATACCTCGATTATAATATAAAGGAGCATAATTTGGATTTAATTTGATGGCCATGTTGTAGTCTAGAAGTGCTCTTTCTTTTTTTCCTTATTGTTTGAATAGAATTCCTAATTATCATACTAAATGATATACCTCTGTTATAATAAGCATCAGCATAATTAGGATTCGATTTAATGGCTAGATTGTAGTCTTGAAGCGCTTTTTTTTCTCTCCTTTTTAATCTAATAGAACTCCTAATGATATCAATAGATTATTTTCCTCTGTTATTATAAATATCAGTATCATTAGGATTCAATTTGATGGCTGTGTTGTAATCTTCAAGCGCTTTTTCTTTTTCTCCTTTTTGTTTTAATAGAATTCCTAATTTTATAACAAAATTATGTACTTCTGTTATTATAAACATCAGCATAATTTAGATTTAGTTTGATAGCTATGTGTAGTCTTGGAGAGCTTTTTCTTTTTCTCCTTGTTGATCGAATAGAACTCTTACTTAAATTATTAGATGATATACCACAGTTGTAATATACATCAGCAAAATTTGGATTTAATCTGATGGCCATATTGTAGTTTTGTAAAACTTTTTCTTTTTCTCCTTGTTGTTTAAATATAACTCCTATTTATAATGCTAGATGATTTACCTTGTTTAAAATAGTCATTAGCATCCATTCCAGACATTATTAATTAATTTATTTTCTATTACTTTTTTAATCATAAATAATAATCAGTTCACCACACTATGAAAAATTATATGTTATTTTTCTGAAAACAGCAATATATTTTCAACTAAATTTTGAAGGCAGCTATTTTGAGTTAATTGCAAAATCTAGGTATTTAGAACTCCCTATAATTATTTTTGAAATTTAAGTTATGCAAAATCATTTGAAATGAAGTTCTAATTTTAGTCCCATAGGTTCTCTTATCAATAATTTATAATTACAGTTATCTAGACTTAATTGATCTACCAATCAACACCAATTAATGTAATTGCCAATTATTGATAAGTTATAAAAATTTAAAGATAAATATTTTCTTCCCTATAATCTAGATCATTTTTATAAAATTTATATCCCACTATCTACTAATAATAACATATCATACCTTAAACCATTTTTAAAACAAAGAATATCTTGAAACTTCACAAGGCTCTTTATATATTTTAGAATTATAATTATAGAATATTTCAAATAAAAAAAGTGAACTATTAAGAAAGCCCTCAATGAATTCTCATGCTATACTTAATTTAAAATTTTAAGAATTATAGTTTTATAAGTAATACAGGATGGGAGTAGATAAATTAAGAGAAATTAGTTAAGTCTGTTAAAATAATAATTAATATTTCTATGAATATGATTTATAGATTTATTCTCATGAACTTATATTAATTTTTTTAAAACATCGATACAGCATTTTAAAAGCTTAGCTAAAAGAATTGTAATTAAAAGTAAATGATATTAAATAAAATTAATGATATTTTAATAATGAATAGAAATTATTTAAAAAAATTGGTTAATTCATTAAAGTATGATATTCCAATTTTCTTGTTTAAACAAGATGATTAATAATGACGTATAAATTAAATTAAAATGATTTTTCAATAATTTAGTAAATGATACATAAATCCCATTTATTTTGATTATCGCATCTTTCATACAAACTTCTATCAATTAAAATTTAATATTATTGCAAAATCAAATTATCAATCTTAAATTATATAGTATTTTCTTCTTTACTTTATTATTGACTTTTCATTATGCCTAATAATTGATAATATTTAATTTTTGTATGAACTCTTTTGTGATTCATATAAAACATTTAAATTTTTTCTTGATATCAAAATTAAATTCAAAACATCTACCAGTAATCTCACTAAGAGGGTATATATATAGATAAAACTTGATATCTCTAAAGAATTCGTTTTTACAGATATTCAAAGAAACATGGGTAATTGGAGTAATTTGGTAGATAACAAAATTATGGTATACCACTTTTAATTCACCACAATTACCTTTATAAATGATATGATGAGTAAATGTATAATTTTGCTATTGATCATGCAAAATCTCTCTTTGATCTTATTAGAGTATAAGGAAAAGAATCCAGAGAAAATCATTATGAGAGCTAATTTCCTGAAAATCAGATTTATTCCCGGATATAAACACTAATAGAGGAAATGTAAGGAACTTGATTGTTACATAGATATTAAGCATATTAAGGATCACTTATTACTTTCTACCGAGAACTGTGATGAGGAAATTGATAAATTCATAAAATGTGTCGAAGAAATCACTGGGATATTTTACAAAAAGATTCAAAAAAGCATAACCAACAAGATGAATTCTATTGCCAAAAAAATTATGAAAATGATTGAATAGGAATGTAACCTAAACCAATCAAGGAAATTTAACCAGTTATAAACATCAGTTAATTTTAAATAAACAATAAAATTAAAGTTTTATTTAATTACCCTTTACATTATTCCTTAATCATTTAAGAAAATGAATATATGGATAATAATATTCTAAAGTACATGATATTTTTAATCAAACACATATTATGGAAAATTGTACTCCTTTTAATATTCTTCTACTTAAAATGATATTATGTAAATTTTAATTTATTAAAAACTTTGCTTACGAAAGTATAACTAGAACTATTAATAAATTATAATAATAAATATCATTCTACTAAAGTGATTAAATTTTTCTTTATTTTTAAGTTAATACAAATTTGCTTGAAGATTCTATTTTAACAAAACAATATAGGTTTATACTTAAAAGATTAGAAAAATGTTGAAATAGACCAATTATTAATGGAACTAGGGAAATCAGATTTCAACAGAAAAAATCTGATCATAAACCTTTACAAATAAATTTCATTTTGAGATTCAATATAATACCCACTCTAAAAAGGGATCATTATACAAAATAAAATGTGAGTTGAGAAAGAGTTTAATAATTTTTCAATTCTTGATCTGTTAAAAATAATCCCCTAATTGTAGGAGGAGAGATACCGATTAAATTCAAGTAGGAGGTGTAACCAACAACCTTCAAAGAGGACAAGAATAATAACAACAAGGAAATTATTAAATTATATATTGATAAACTGAAGGATATGTAAGGAGTACTGATTGAAGAAGAATACTAAGAAAGAGTATGAAAAATTGTAATACCTTGAATAGGGATAAGGTAAGATTTGAAGAAGAAGATGTGGATGGATATGCTAAG